CCTCATATTCTATATCTCGTATTCAATATTTCATACCTTAAATTCTATATTCAGCCTTTCATATTCCATATTACATATTTCATAATCCATAGTTTATGTTCAGTCAGTTTGACATTCCATATTCTGTATCCTATATTCTACACTATATATTTCACATCCTAAATCCTATATTCTGTCTTTCATATTGTGTATTCTATATTCATATTTTAAATTTTTTATCCGATGTTTCATGATATCCGCTCTTGATAATTATACTATATTCTATACTCTACTATGAAAGTTTTGAAATGAAACTATGTAAGTTTTGATTCGAAACTCGAAAGGAGAAATCGACAAACATTACAATAAAGCGAAGATCAAGTGACTATCAATAATATAAATCTCTGAAGCCATTAGCGAAAGTAAACTTGTGCACACTTGTATCTTTAAGGCTTTACTTGGAATCGATTAGATTTATGGCGCACATGTATCTTCAAGAGCTAACGACTTTACTTGGAAATTATTAGATATCTTTTACGCAAGTATCGCAATTAGTACAAAGAAGGCGTGGATTTATAGAGAAATTGTAACCTATTTGTACGTCTCAAACATTTCACAATATCTATATCTGACTGAGCGTCTTTAAAATAAGAGTTGCGAAATGCGGTGGATATCGGTAAATTAATCTAGAGATTTTTTTTCGCAATGGCGGTCAAAGAAAACATTTTTTTTTTTTTTTGGCCTTAATTTCATTCAAAAACACTCTCACTTGTTTTCTATCACATTTTGCAAAAAAAAAAAAAAAAGAAATTAAAAACGATGTTAAAGATTAATTATTTAAAAAAAAAAAAAAACGTTTATCAAATATTAAAAAGAAATTTAAAAAAAAAAAAAATTATATATATATAGAAAGAAGAAATTTGGTAAAGCAATTACATCGGTAAGAATGAATTCTTCAGGATCATCAATACTGGCAACGGTAACTTTGCCCTGTGAGACTATATGATAATCGTAGATGTTATTGGATAACAAACAGTATTCTGTATGTGTTTAACCGTAGAATAGAAAATATAAATAAAATTTAATATTGGATATGTATTCAAATGTGATAATTTGTTTATGTAAGTGTACGCGTGCGTAGTTTACATCTAAACGGAAACTTTTAAATAATAATAATAATAATAATAATAATAATAATAAAATTGTGTAATGAAATGAATGAAAAACAACGAATAGAGGAATGATGGATGTTATGAGGAAACGATGAATTTTACTTTTATACCTTTAACACCGGCCACGGCATTGGACATAATCTGATAGAAAATGTGATAAGAACGCTCCAAAGATTGCTGGGAGATGACACGAGCCTTCTCTAGCAGATCTAAACGAAATGAGAAAAGGATTTTTCATTATAGATTTTTCTAGCATTCGCTCAAATGTGCATCAAATATTAGTGATATATATACATATATTTTTTTTTTTTTTGTTATTAATTCTTTGCTTTTTTTATTTTACATTATTCTTATATTATTTTATTATTATTATTGCTCTTTTTTTGCAATTATTTTATTACATATGATATTTTTGTAATATGATGTTCGTATATATAGTTAAGTTAAGGGCGAAATTCTGAATCGTTTTAAGCATGTCCGCTATTCGTTTAAAATTTAGCAGAAATATTGGAAGCTCTTAGAAGCAAAGTTGGAAGCACTTATCAAACTGGGGCATATCGGGTAAAGGATACGTCTACAGGTAATGCGGATCGCGCCTACTTTCTGGATTTTTTGCTGATTACGCAAAAATCGTAAGACACGCGATAAAAATTTTCACATACGCATTTTACAAAAATCGTCTAATCGGGCATAGCTTATGCCCGGCTAATGTTATAGAGTACGAAGTTTCGTTTCTTCTCAGCCTTTGCTAAGATAAAAGTGGTCAGTACAAAGAATATATTAAAGAGAGATATAATTTATTCACTTGGCTTTGTATTCTTCGTGTAAACCAAACTCAGTGCATCGATAATAATAAACAGCAAAATAGATAGATAATATAAAGAAATAAACGAATGAAAAACAAGGAAGAGAATTATATTCAATTATAACCGAATGTTTTGTGTCCGTCACCGTTATCCTTAAAAAGGCTAAAGAAAGCGAAAATGCGAAAAGCAAAGATGTTTATAGTTATAGCTGCTTAGGAGTGTAGGCGTTTAAGGCGGGTACTTTGGCCGGTGAGAATGTTCGCCACCGCCATGTAAATGGACAAATGGACAAACGAGCACACGGACCTGTTGAAGCGCATTCCGAATTTCCGTAATGGAGAAACACTATAGTCGGTCGCGGCTCACTATTAAACACCCTACACCCCTCTATAGCTATTCATATAACGATTTTTCAAATTAAGGCAATGTACGGAAAGTGATCGAAAAGGTTGTCTGAGCGGTATTCATCCTAAGATCAAAATACGTCAGTGTGCCATATTTCATCGTTATATCTCAAAAATTGCAATTTATAGATGGAACACAAAAAAAAGGCAGACAGACGGAAAGACAACCTGAAATCGATTCAGAGTCACTTGCTATATAATAAAAGGTCGGTCTATGTGAACTTCTGAAATTCTTATGCAAGCTACATATTCCCGCCCAAACTTAATACGCCCTTGCACCATAGGTGGTGCAGTGTGCCGTAAAAAAGTTCAATCGCAACTGACTAAGATTCGATACTGAATTCTTTTTTATTTAAAGTACGTTTCAATCTTGGTCTGATGGGTAATGAACAGTAGAGCAGAGATTTTTAATGAAATTATTTTATCTCATCTTCTGAAGGAGTAGTGACTAAACGAAACCAGTTCCAAGCAAAAAAAAACAGAAGCCAAATCCAAGTTATGTCTTGCTCCCTTTTCTTTAATTTCAATTGCTAGTAAAGTCCTATTCCAGATGATGAGGAAAAATAAGAGCGAAAGAGCATTTAGCAGAAAGAATTTGTAGGATGTTACGGAACTTGCCAGGCCTGAGAAGAGTATAGAATGGCACGTAAAGAAGCAAAATGGTTATCCTTTAAATTTCCGAAAATCTTTCATCTATAGCTCGTCTACATGTAAAGTCTTCCTGAAAAGTATGAGTTATAAGGTGCGGACGGTCAAGAGCCGCCGCTGTCGCTTAGCTCCAAACTGTCTAATCTGTTTTTAGGTTTTCTAAAATCAATACAACCTTAGCGTAGCTTGACTTCTTTTTCCATACAACGTTTTGGCGGTTAATCTTTATATTTTATTTGTTCGCTTATTCTTACGTTCATATATTTTTGTGTTATTTTGCATCAATTAAAGAAAAAATGTTTTGCACTTGTCTTCCTTCTAGCATCGAATCTATCGAATCGTATGAGTTTATCAAGTCTCTTAAAAGTCGGTCATAATCATTAATAAATTATTATTCACCTTATTCACTATTGTTGTTATTGTTATTATTATTATTATTATTATTATTATTATTATCATTATAATTATCATAATTAATATCATCACTACTTTATTTTTATTTCATTTACTGGATTGTTTTTCATAATTTATTTATTATTTATTTTTAAGTATATATTTCTTGTTAAATTAAAAAAGAAAAAAAAGAAGGAAATTAACAAAACATAAAACACTTACAAGTTTCAATATCAGCACCAGCCAATTTACCAGTGGGACCAAAGTGAATACGAATGAATTTACCCTATGTTAGACGTATGAGAAACGTATTTAATAATAATGCTTTGTAAATGTTTGCAAACTTTTATGGATACTTACGAAACGAGAAGAGTTATCGTTACGGACGGTCTTAGCGTTACCGAAGGCTTCCAATACAGGATTAGTTTGTACGACCTGATCTTCCAGGGAGCCCTTGTTCTTTTGACTTTCATCCTTTTTGCTTGAGGCACCGACGGTGGCGAAATACGCAATTACCTTTTTGGTGTTCTCAGTCTTACCAGCACCAGACTCACCGGTAATCAACATAGATTGATTGACGTGGTTGGTCAACATATCGACGTAGGCACCGTCAGAAATAGCGAAAATATGTGGTGGCACTTCATTACGACGCTTACCACGGTACATTTTAGCGCAACGGTTGGTATATACGGGGTAACGCTTGTAGGGATTGATGGCAATACAGAAAAGACCAGAATAGGTCTGTTTGCGAGCAAAAAAAATGATATCGAAAATTTTCCATTAATAACGATTGAAAGATGATTGACTTTTTGAAAGAAACATAGATCGATTGAAATTTATCTTAAAAAATTCTATGAGAGAAACATTCAACATTGTGTGATGTACGGTTTCGATTGCGTGTATGAAGAAAATCAGCTCAGTTGTCATAGTTTCACTGTTTTTGCTGGTTTTCGCATTGATCGTTTTGATAGCTTTTTGTGAACGATTCTTTTCGTGTTTTTTTTTTTTTGTTTTTTTTTGTTTAATATTTTTTTTTTTTTTATTTTTTTCAATTTTTTTATTTTTTATTGAATTTGTAGATGAACATGAGAATATTTTTGGATTGTTGCGAAGATTTGATATTTCATAACACAGCTGGTATGGGTTTCCTTCTTTGGAACTGTAAAATACCAGAGTATGTAGAGTTGTTTACCAATTGGTTATCTTACCAGTTAGCGTTCAGAGCACTGGTTGGATATTGATTGTGTTTGTTGTTGATAATAAGCAACAAAGCAAGCTGGCAACATAAACTTCAAAGACACAAATAATGAAGAAGGAAATTAAGAACAAAACTCTTGAAATATGAGCAAAAGGATGAAGAAGGGATTCGGGAAAGTTTAGAAGTATTTCCTTACGATAAGAAATTATTTGGAATCGTACGCAATGTATATATGTTAATGATGTTAAGTCCAAATTAAGTTAGACTTTCGTCTTTTTTATTTATTTTTTTTTTTTCTTGTTGGTTTTTATATATAGTTATGTATGATTTGATTGTTTTAGTAAAGGAGTAATAACATCGAACATTGAACAGATGATCAATTAAAAATGAAAGCTAACAGGCACAATTGCTAGTTGCTGGCGTCTTACTTACATAGATAAGCTTGTTGTAGTATCTCTGTCTCAAGTTATGGAGCACAGAGGCGTCATTAAGATATGTCAAGTTGGACATATCCTCAGCTTTTTCATATTTTGGAGGGTTCACTTGTGTGAGCAGATCTTTCTTAAAATCTTTCGACTTTTTTCATAAGTTTATTTTACGTTTTTTTTTTTTTTTTTTTTTTTTTTTGAATAACAGAAATTTTTTTTTTCCGGTTTTCACACAATGCGAGAGAGAGCCAAAGAAGAGAAACAAAAAAAAAAAACCAATATTAGTTTGGTTTGTTGGTGGAAACTTACGTAAATGATTTTCGAGTAGTATCGTTGCCTTAAATTGTGTAACACGCACGGAGTATTCAACACCGTCATATCAGCCATATCTTCAATTTTTTCGAATTTTGGTGGATTCGTTTTTTCCACCTTGTCCGCTTTAAAATCTTTCAACTGTGGTAATAACGATTTAACGATAAATTATTTTACAAAAAAAAAAAAAAAATAAATAAACTATTTAAACAGCAAAAAAAAGGAAATTCTTTTAAATCAAAAGATATCCCTTTTCTTCTAATCCAGAAAGAAAGAAAAGTTGAAAAATTGAAAATTTTTCTTAAGCGATCGATTTTGTATTGATTTGTGTAGTGTTGAGATGTAACATTATTACCTCACCGCCCGGCAAATTAACGGTGACCAAGTCACCCTTGGTGGCCTTAATTTCACCAAGCAAGAAGCCTTCCTTCTCATCGGGTACCCAACAATTCTTTTTCGGATCATAAGGTTTCGATTGATCGATACGCCTTTGTTCCAACGACACAAACAAGTATGGGGTTGGATCCTCATCTTCTTGACTAGCAATAGGACGCGGCATTTTGAATTAGTTTCGCTTTATAAACGTTTTTTTTAATAGAATTAATACAAAAAAATTTTTAAACTCGTTTGAGGGCTAGAGTTTATTGCTTTGCCGCTTTTAATACGCAAATATAACTGATTTTGAACAAAATTTTATCTCGTCGTCTCAGCCCAAATGCTTCCCTAAAAAGAATAGAAAGGAAAAAACAAGATATTAAACATAAATTAATTACTTTTATTAAAACTAATTTTAATTTTTATTATTAAGTAACAGTGTGCTAACTTTATTACGAAAGTGCGAAGTGTTCGTTTTTTGTAGAAGACGATATATAAGTTCGACATCTGCGTCCCTCATCTGCCTTCAAAACATTAACTCAGAGTTGCTTTTTTTTTCAAAGACAATTGTCTAACACTTGGCTTTCTATAGCATTCATCAATGAATTATGTTCGAAAAGTGAAAAGTTTATAAATATATATAAATATATATATATATATATATATATATATATATATATTCACTAAGCAAACAGCCAACGATATCCTATGCCGAAAGGAAAGTGTGTTCATAATATCGTACTGCTGGTGACATCCTCTATGTGGAGATTAAGAAATTTTGGAAAATTTTAGCTAAACCTTCGGGACTAAAGCATCAGCTGCTCATCATAACTAGGATCCTAAGTACTTGATTTTTTTTTTCTTTTTTTTTAGGTTGTCTGTGGTAGAATTAGTAGGCGATGTGATTAGTTTTAATTTCTTCGCTAGATTGCCATACATTAAATTTCGTTGTATAGTGAAATCCCATAAGTTGTTTGCATTCGTGGAAATCCGCTTCACTTTATATTGTCATAAGCAAAGCCAGCAAACTCGATAGGTGTTCGATGAAGTCGAAGAAAAAGTTCGCGGTATTTTTCCTAGTAGATGGCTTTACAATCGCCTAACTTTAATAATACTAATTCTATCGCTTCATACTGCAGCGCGATTGAAAAGTGACAGACCCTAGAAAGCATTGTAATATTTGTTACATGCGTTAATGCAGGTGAAAGTAATTGCATTATGAAAATTATACAAAATTTAAAAAAACAAAATCCGCTATGTTCTATAATAAATCTTCGACGAAGACGATAACGCTTCGCCGGCTTGTTTATGATCAAGATTCTTCATCGAAATTAGTAGCAAGCAAAGGGTTCCTCTTTTGAAATTTACCGACGTATTCTGGTTTTGTGATCAATCACTGATCGTAAAAGAAAGCAATGTGTTGCCTTGTGTACTTCTTCTGACTTCGGGTCAAGCTTGATATTCTGTAGCAATAAGTTAAGTCCAAGATCAATTTTGTTAAAAACCAATTGCATTAGCCTGCGAAAGGCCGCAAAAAAAAGATAAAAGAATTGCAATCTTATTGAGAATGTAGCGATTAGACGTCAATCTTTGCTAAAGTGTTAATGCAATTCGTCGAAAAACTAAGAAACTAATTGTTTACCAAAAAGTTATTTCAAACTATGTGCATTGATCTTGGATGCATCTTGGATGTGCGAAGAAGTGTGATGTGAATTAACAATGTTTATGAAATTGACTTTTCATCTGGACATCGCTGTTGAAACGAAAGGAAAATGACTCGTTTTTGAAGAAATTGATAATGCACGAGGAAGGTTAGGTCGCGATATATGACACTGGTGAGTTAAAAAATCATCAGCTGACAACTTGCTGATCAACTTGCACATATGGTGGCAAAATTTTGAACTGGGGAGATATAAGGTAATGCGCTCTATTCGACGAGATATGAAGACAATTTTGGATTAATGCAATTAAAGCGTACAATTGAGGTAAAACGTTGAGAGTAGATCGAAACGAAAGGTCTCGCTTTCCCTTACGACAATGACACATCTTCGATCCTTCGCTTAAAGTTGGAAAGTTTTTTTTAGCATCCACGGCTTACTCATATATAGAAAACTCGATCTGTCAGAAAAACCCATAATTACTTGTTTATATACCTAATTGGAAATTGCAGATATAGATTGCATATCTATCATTGAGAAATCTTAGTGATGCATGTGGCCATCTAATCTACAGACACTCTGTGGGAGGTTAAAAGCTTTAAGCCTACCTAGTTATTAATAGATCACTAAATGAATGATGAAATAAATGAAAAAGTTCATCAAGTCATGATCATAAAGAAAAAATTATTGTTATCTGAAGTCTAACGCAGCGTAGGCAAAAAAAAAAGAAGAAAATAAACTGTCTAAGAAAAATCGTATTGGCATAGGTGTTAAAGACAAGTGGTTGTCCTTAAAGTCAGTAAATTATGTTAATTTTCGGAATTCCCTGACCGTACCAGGTAAACGATATTCTTCTGACTTCACTTAGCAGTAGCAAGTCTTGGTCTCAACCCCTACAATATTAAGAGCCTAGTAAAACACTAAAAAAAAAATTAAATAAAAAACTTTGGTCTGTTACTCTGTACTGAGCTAAGCTTAAGTAAACCTTTATATTGATTTCTTCTTCTCGTAATTTTTCATTGAAAAAATTTGTTTAATCGGTTTGTCACCCTAAAGAAACTAATTTCGCGAATACTATTGATAAAGCGCTTAAGAAGCTAAGAACAATTTACTCTTCTTTACTTATGTTATTGATCTTTTTTTAATTTGCCTTCGCTCATTGATGATGAAGTAGAAATTAAGAAAAAGAAACTAAAAAAAAATGGATTCGAAAACTCCTGCTTCTGCTAGTGTCTGTAGTTTTCGAATTTCCAAATAAGTTAATTTAATTTGTAAAACTTTTTCGCTTTTCATCTTCACTGTAATTGGATAGTTTTCCTCGCATACTCTGACCAATCTTCAGCGATATTTCGCAAACACGCACACTCTTCGCCATCATATTGTCTCTCTTATGTTCTTCTAAATCATTCGATCTCTCGTTCGCTTTCTCTCTCTCTCTCTCTCTCTCTCTCTCTCTCTCTCTCTCTCTCTCTGTCGCACAACAATAAAATTGCTTAATATCCCTCAACAGTCTTTAGATTTCATTCTTATTTTGTTTTTAATTTTTTAATGACTTTTCATTCATTTATTTTGTTTCTTTTTTTTTTTTTTAATTTTTAAAATTTTGAGCAAAGATTATCTCTTGTGCGACATTTAAGATAAAATCGTAAATATTTTAACACATATTTTAAGGTAATGATAGCCACTGCTGAATATAAGCAAAAACAAAAAAAAAAAAAAAAAAAAATTTAAGGTGTGGGTTGTAGACTAATTTTAGATCGGTGTCATCCTCGGTAAGCGCACGCGTATTTGGATTCTATCGTTAAACTGCTATAAAGAAAATTCTCTTTTTCAATTTCAAAAATTTATACACAAAAGCATATAACTGAGTATGTATGCGCATTTATTATCTATGTCACTGGGTTTTTAAAAGTAAAACGTATGCGATTATGTAATGCAAACTTTTTTATGTTTCCATTTTTAATATTTCTTAACTGATATCATTATTAATAATTAATTATTTTATTTCAAAACTGAAGTTAAGTTAAGATTTTTATCTCTCATAAACTGTGAACATTTTTAACTGTCACTAAATTTTTGTACTCATTTTCTTACTTTTCTTTTAGAAGGTCTTTATTTATTTATTTATTTTTCTTTTTTCTTTTTTTTTTTTTTTTTTTTGTTTCTTTTCTTTTTAGTCTCGTTTACTTTTCAAAGGACTCCGCGCCTTGAATCGCTTCGTATGATTGATTATTAAATTAGAAGTGACAAAATTTGTTAAAAAAACTCGTTTATCGTTTACCACCGACTAGAGGAATTGATCTAAAACGTCCGAGCTGCGACACCGCAATGATATGAAAGCATGAGAATTTTTACCGTCTTGTCTAAAATCCAAAAAAAAAGAAGGAAAAAACAGAACGCGAACAATTTTCAATTTATTTTTAAAATTCTCGAAACAATTTCGAAACTTTCTAAGATAGAAAAAAAAAAAAACCCAAACACAAACACACACAAACACTTATACATACTTATTTGCAAACGCATACAAACTTATATAAACATTTTTCATTCTCATGCTCTATAAAAAGTTTTCATAGATATGTTTGTGACTGCGTATATATATATATATTTTATATATATGTGTGTGTGTACGAGAGCATATACATAATATATAATTATTTCAGGCGTCTACGTATGCCAGTTGATAACCTATCTTGCGTGTGGTTTGTGTGAAAACATTTCTATTGCCAATATTTTCTGTCCCTCTCTCTCCTCTCCCTCTCCCTACCCCCTCTCTCTCTCTCACGCTCTCAACTATCTTATCTTCTGTCTGTTCGCTATCTGTTCATTTTCACTTGTTTTAGATGCCTTTCTGAAGAAAGAAATTTTCCCTTTTGTTTACAGGAAATGAATACTAATTTCTTTCTTCCTCTTTTTCTAGCTGTTTCTTAATTTTTTGTTTTTTTTTTTTGGACTTTTATTACATATTTGAAAAATTATTGAAATGAAGAAGAAATTATGAACGAAAACAAGTTTAAAAGAAAGTTTATCTTGAAAGATATCTTGACGTTTAGTAAATACTTATAAGACTATTCCATAAACTGCGGACCGATGAGATAATTGTAATAAATTTCATTTCATGCATCGAATAACAGAGCTCCGAATTAATTAAGGTTATGCATCAGAATTCCAACAAGAAATGAATGGATAAGCCATCATACTTAACTCACTACAGAATATCAGATCGTTCAATAATTTAAACACTTTACGGAGTGCGTATAAAGAACAGAGTAAGTATATCGTTACTCTCTGGTCAGGTGTCAAAGAAAGTATTATTGACATATGGTAACCTTGACGGCTCAAGCATCGTAACTTTACTCGCATTCTAATCATAGCATGATATAAACTGTCGTTCATGAGTTTTTCAATTTCATAAGATTCAACATTGTAAGCCATAAACTGATTTTTAACATTATTTTTCTAAATTAAATGAAGGCTTACGCTTTCTGTTTGTACTTGCAATGTCCTACTACATGAGTATTAAGAGAAGAAGAATTCTTAGGCAATAAAGAGTTTTTTTCGTAAAAGAAAGCCGTTGCGACATAATAAAAAAATAAAATATCACATGCGAGAGATTATGATTTCTAATCTCCAGCTAGTTTCTGACAGAAAAATATGTGCACGATATTAAAATGAAATTAATTAAACATTTTGATTACAAGTCACGCTAAAAAAAATTAAAAAATCTTTATTAAATCGCGATATTTAACTCTGAATGGCCAAATTGCCGAAAGTTGTTGTTTTATTTCAAGTTAATACATTTTTCAACATAATTTTTTTATGATCAGAGAAAGCTTCTTTTTTCTTTTTTTTTTTTGAATATAGAAAAAGCTTTACATAACTAAAAAATTTAACCTCTGGTTATGTAACATCAACAACTTTGAATGAAAAGTAACATAAAGTAATTTTTTTTTTTTTTTTTTTGGCTTAATTTTGAAGGCCAATGAAAATATTTTAAATTAATTTATTTTATTATTTTTATTAACTAAATGTTTTTGTTGTTATTATTGCAACTCAACTTTCGGAAATTGTATAAGATTTTCCGTTGTGATTCGATTAAATTGATTTAATTTTATTTTTTTCGCCGAAAAACTTTGAAAAAAATCGCAAAAATACTGAAAGTATAAAAAAAAAAAGAAGCAAATAAATAATAACGATATAAAACAAAGCCAGAGAACTACGGCTTCTTTCTTAAAGGAAATCAAAGGCTTTCATTATTGTTACTATTACTGGTTTTTTAATGTATTTATAAACAATTTATTAAAATTTGTTCGAATCATTTGAAATGAAATTTTTAATGAAATGCTGTCTTGTTTCTGGACTTTTAAGGCCTCATAAAAAATAATATAAAATAAAAATTTTTTCTTTTAAAATCATTTCTCCGGTTATCAGACTTGTTTTTTTAATTTTAATTTTTTTTTAGTTGAAAATAAGCTTTTTCTTCTTCCTTTTTTCGGTTTTGAGCAGCCCGAAAATGAATGTGAAATATTTTCCAGAAAAGGAATATGTAAATTTATAAGATTGAAATTTAATTATCAAAAACTGTATTGTTTTAAATGCCTTTAAATTATGGCACAATTGAAATTTTTATATTGAAAAAAATTAAAAATTCATTATTTCATTTCTTGTTGCATTTTCTGTTATTTTTTAAATGTCTGACAATTAGAGAAAGAATTACTTCCTCATATCATTTCGGAGATTACACAAGACAGGTGCATATTGAGGTTATATGCTATGAATGTATGTAAAATGTATAAATTATATTTATATATGTATGTATGTAACTATGAATGTCAATCATAGCATTTCATTTAATTCATTGAATTAATATTAATGAATAAATTGATTGCTATTTCAATTAAAAAGTAATCCATTCGAGATAAACGTAATCGTTGATATTTAATAATCCATTGCAGAGAGATTTTCTTTTTTTTTTTTTTTTTTTTTTTTTTTTTGGTAATCCGGTAATAATCCATCGTCTTATTATGTTCAGTGCGCATTTGCTTGATATTTAATTTAGTTTTTCTTTTTTGTGCCAATTTTTTTTTCTCTTCTTTAATATTTTATTTGATCAGTTACTTCAAGGATCTGTAGGATACATTTCATATGCTTATAGACACACACAGACACACACACACACACAAACACGCACTTTCGTAATTCATTTAATAATTTTATGCTCTTTTTTTCTTCGTTTGGAGCTCCATTGTTAATAAGAAAATTATTGTTATTATTATTATTGAAGAAATATTCACCAACAGCAGGTGTTGCACTTACGCGTTCGAAAGCCGTTCTGACCCACACAACCGGTAATGTTCCTTTTTATATGAGGCAATTTGATACCGTTGTTTTATCGTTGCCACGATCCTATGCTAATGTGTTAGTACGCTCGGCTACTACGCTTCGTTTAACGTCGCACCCCTTTCACTAATGCCCGGGGCTGATAATGCTATTTGCTCCCTTTTTCGGCTCACGCTACATGCCAGAGCATACAAAGAACTACTTGTCAGTATATCTGTGTATAATTAATAAAGAAACTAGTATGCGTGTAGCGTAAGCTTTATACTTTATGACTCAGTATGTAGGTGTAAATTCTTCTATGTATATTTGTCGTCGTGCGATTGTGATGCAATCGATTACGTTTAGTGTAAAGCTAGCATAAAGTTAAAAAGGATCTGTTTCGCTCACATATACTGCAACAGAAAACGATAATACGTGCAATAGCAAAGCAATCACCCAGAAAGAGATCTGCTGATGAGAATCTCTCTGATTCGATCATGAGTAAAGAGAGAGTTTTTTATAACGTTAAAAAGCTTTTCTAATGAAGAGAAAGAAGCAGCAAATATGTGCGGATATATGATGTTTATATGCTCTTCGGATTATGCTCTGCGTTTTAAAGACAAAAAATTACAATTTTTTTTTTGAAATTTTAGCTAAATGCGAAGGATTAAGAAATGTATATGTGTTTTACAAAATAATTCATCAAAAAAAGGAAATTTTATAGATTTTTATATTTAAATTAATTGCTATAATGGAGGCCTTTGCCTGTATGATAAAATTTAATAAAAATTAGTTGTTGCTAAGTGTTCTTAAAAGATTTTTTTACAATTTTTTTTGCATATATTTATTATTTTTCTTCTTCTTTTCTCTTGCTATTGGCATTGATTGCTTTCGTATGTGCACCAATACGAATGCAAATGAACAAAAAAAAAAAAAAAAAAAAAATTCTACACCCTCACGTTAAGCTTTGAGTAAACATTTTCCATACGTCTACTCATGGTACGTACGAATATTAATTTCGATACGCTCTTTCCCTTTCTTATTCTTTCTCTTTCTTGTTTCTGTCGCTCCCTCTCTCTGCATCTCTCTCTCTCACCGTCTCAATTTTTCCATGCCTACATATGTGTAAATATATATATGTTCATATATATATACATATATATATATACATATATATTATATTATAACATCGTCAAGGTGCTTACTACATACATCATATGATTTATCATTGTACAAAATTCTATTCTTCACATTCACGTTTTTCATCCAACATTTTTATAGCCGGCGCTAGAGGATGTGAATACACTAAGTTTGGCATTTCACATGAAACAGCAAAAAAGGAGAATAATCTTAAAGCTTGAATGGTATACGTAACGGCTGTTTTGTTGGAATTCCGGTTTGAGCAAGCACTGAAATCCCTTAAAGTAAGCTCAACATAAAGACTATCAAAAATAAATTATCTGCAAGGTTCCATTGCAAAACACTAAAAATTAAATTTCGATACCATTTGGTAGAACGTTCTTGTTGGAAGGGACTGTAAGAAATCCGAAGTAAAAATGAGAAATTTTTCAAAGAAAGGGATTTTTCAAAATATAGCACTATGCGGGAAGATATCATGTCATTTATCCGATTTGATCCAATTTCATTAGAGTCATCTTCTCGTTGATCCAATATCTGCAAGTGTAATGCACTCCATGGAAATATCTCAAAAAATGGTAGCATACTACACATAAGCATTCAAAGGATGGACGAAGAGAGGGACAGGCAAGCTTAATAAAGATGTGGTTCTATCT